TATTTTTTCTGCGCTGTGGTAAAGATGACGACAACCGTGCTTGATAAGGCGTGCAGAATCCGACAGCATTTTTCAAGTTGGGCAAGCAACCCCTTTTGATCCGACTACCCCCCATCCCAGTTATGAAGGAAAAATAATGCACAGAGTAAGTAATTTAATGATACACACAAACTTAGGGTGCACTGAAAAAATGAAAGGAGTAGAGGGAGGGGCGCGGAAAAAAGAATATCCTTGTCCCGTGATTAGCGAACCCAAAGCCGCGTGCGGCGTTGCCAAATCGAGATGATACCCCTGGAATCACCTTCAGGGAATCCGGGGGATTTCAACGGTAGCACCAACAGCCCGTTCCGTGCAATTTATTGTAATAAATTCCGGTTTACTTAATATCCTTTCTTTCGTAAGGTTGGTCGGTCGCTCCGTAAGCGACGTTGCCGTTTTTACGTAATAATTACGTAAGTTCTTACTGAGAGGGATGGAGGATCCCCTCAACTCGGCGAGTGCAGCTTCTTCATCTTGCCGTGTCCCATTTTTATGGAGCGGCTCCATTTTCTGGGCCAATTAGGCAGCAGGACTGAGTGGCGGCAATTATTTTCTATTTTCTTCCCGGTTTCAGCAATTTGCGTGACCCCATCCACTCCGCCGGCTAAATTGATATCATCGAATGAGGCTACAGACTAGTGTTTATCTTGCTCACCGCGGAAGGTATACGTAAGGGTTTCCCGAGCTCGAGCGAAATGAACCTCTCGATAGGTGAGCTACAATTCAGGGCACCAACTTAACGCACGTTGAGTTGACTCAGCAAAACTTGATGCAGAGTAAGAGGGACATACTCTTAAGAATAATAGTATACTTTTAAGAATAACAGTATAGTACTCTTCCCATGATAAAGATGCGAGAAAAGTAATCAATAGCATGCAGACTATTCGCGATGAGAATACTGCCGCACGAACAGGGTCTAAAAAGTTGCGGGCGTATTACAATCTTGTCAAATTCTCGTAGATACGCCCTTTGCCACATAATTGCTAAGTGTTTTCAATATTGGCGGTGATTTCACCGTAAAAAAGCGTCTGCTCTCCATGGTATTATTGAAAAACTAGGTACAATTCGACTGGCTCTTGCAATTGGGAACTATAATTTCAGGTCAATCTGTAAAAATACTTATGCGCATAGAAAAACTATACACACTATGTACACTATACACACAACTATATACACACGTTGTCGCTAAACTGAGCCATGCATTGCGGTTCTAATTGCAAGATGCAGTTCAATTATCGCGGTGCTAGCTTTAGCTTTTTTAACGATTTAGATTTTTACTTACTATAATTTTCTTCCTCTTAAGAAAAAATGAAAATCCAAAAAAGCATGCGACCACGGCCAAATTGTCGCTACAACACGTCTATCCTATAAAATACCAAAAGTCCTTCAAAATCTCAATTTCGACCAATTTGCCCCATTTCAAGAGCCATTTTCCCGAGGACGGTTCAATTCGGAGCTACCTGGTACCGGGCTTTTCCGTGCGTTCCAAGTTCCGAAAAGATGCGTGCCCGCGAACAGTTATTTTCCCTGTGCCAGGGGATTTGGATTTCCATCCTTTCTCGTGACAAGCCGTGCCAAAAGTTCTACTTCTGTTGGTTTCCCGGCTTTCCGAACTGGGTTAATCCCTCAGAGTAAACGCAGTTCGCAGCGTCACGCTCGAACAGCTCTTCGCAACGCACGGCTCATAAATGTGTCTCGGCGATGCTTCGGGGGAAGGGGAGCTTTTCGAAGGTACTTCGTTTCGTTAAACTATTTTTCGCTATAAAATTCTTCTAAAACGCGATTGAAACGCTTCAAATCTCCATGACCACCTTAACGTGAGAGAGATACCCGTTTCTTGTCTGTTAACTGATAAGGACAAACTCAGTATGTAGTGTAGTTCGATGGGAAATCTTTCATAAAAGGGGGACTAGATCAAAAATTACTTCCCAGAGGCCATAAAAAAATCCCTAAAACCGTGAAAACGACCCTCATGTGAGCCATAATTACGTGTGATGACATTTTCGGAGGAAGGGAAAGAAGGGGGGGGGTTCAGACCTCTTGGATCCCACTCTCAGCTCAGAGGCGGACCCGGCAATTTGGCAGCACGGGATTTCCTCCATTAAAACCTGCAATAAATGATCGATTCTTGTCGGAGTACCTGGTCCCTCCAAGAATCCAAGAATCGATACATTTTTATAGGTTTTAATGGACACTGGAAAAAAAAACACATGGGATCTAGAGTCCAGAATCTTAAAAACATCGGCAAGAAAAAGTACTCTTGATTCAATCAGAATCTAGCTTAAATCAAGAACCAAGTCTCTTAATTTAAGCGGATTTCGTTTTAATTCAAGCAAAAATCCGATTGAATCAAGAGTATTTTTTCTTGTCAATGTTTTCAAGAGTCTGGACTCTAGATCCAATGTGTTTTTTTTCCAGTGGAGGAAAAAAACCATGTTGCCAATTTGCTGGATCCTCTGATTTCTCTGCTACCCATAAAATGTCTGGAAATGATATTTTCAGACGATATTTCCGATTCTGCAATCATAAACTCCGGGTCGAAAATTCGCGGGGGTGGAATCGTAAGGACTCAGGAATGGGGCCGTTTCGCCAGAAGATGGCAGCCATGCTCCCGGCTCGTCAACGGCGTAAATAAATCAGCGGCAAGCTCCTTGCAACAGTTCGTCGTCTCTGTTTGCATGCAGGTAAAACGTAAACGAACCTCCCTCCCCCCTCCCCCTCTGCCCCCCGAAAACTCCCCGGCACGTACGCGGGAGGGGGAGGAGGGGGTGCGCGATAGTACAATTTGTACTTTATTTCCCCTCGGACAGGGCTCCTCCCTCGCGCTAGCCCGTAGGTCTTACTCAACGTTTCGTTTTCTTTCCCTGCCTCATTTGCTGTACCTCGTTTTTCATCTGCTCTTTTAATTTTCCCGCTGCTCGCTCTCTCCTCGCCGCACAGTGGAGCGTGTCTTTGGAAGAAGTCGGATACGATATTTTTGACAAAAATTGTAAAATTTCACGTTTCAGGATTGCCAAAGAATTGAAAATGGAATTCCCTGGCATTTCCCTGATTTCCCTGACACTTTTTGGTGAAATTCCCCGTGAATTGAACATAAGCTACATGGTTAAAAAGATATGATCAGAAATCGTTTTCGGGCAAAATTTTTCGTTCAAAACGTCCAACCTATACTAAAAGGCAAATAAAGGTGACTTGATAATTTTTTCCTGACATTTTCGTCATTTTCCCTGATATTTTCGGGCTTTTTAAAATCCCCTGACATTTCCCGGTTTTTCCGTCTCGACATATTGTTAATTTTTCAAGTGGTGCTTTTTATAGAAAATTTTACGCGAAAACCAATCAAACTACTTTGAAAACATCAACATTTCATATCAATAAAGGTATACGATTTTGAAGTTTTTAAATCATGTCCGATATCTCCCATTGACTCGATCTACTGTGCGCCGCGCCGTCTCGATAACCTGGTACATGCCTCCGCATCTTTCACCCCCCCCCCCCCCCCCCCCCCCCCCCCCCCCCNGCTCCCCTATGATTTCACAGATTATCTGGGTCACGCTCTTGTTGATCTTATTTCGTTCGTCTTCCAAACTTGAGCCTTCCGTCTCGGAACATTTTATTCTTGTCCGAAACTAGGTGATAATTTTTTACCGATAAACTTGTAAAATGGAATACTGATATGATTATATACGCCGCGATATAATATAAAACACCCGCGGACTTATTGTACATGCAAATCAATGCGTACACAATACATGTTCGGTGTTCGTTAACTCGGAGAAATACAGCACGATTGAACCATATATTTTGCACTAATATTGGCCCACGCAAAAATTTCAGCAAATTCACCCAATAGTTACCTCTCTAAAATATGAATTGGCAATGAAGATCGCAACCAAGAAATGCGCTTTCTGCACTCAACATCTCAATTCTTGCATGTGGTTGTCTAACTTGGGATTCCCTTGAAAGCTAATCGATTTAGTCTGCTTTTTCGGTTGGTGTGAAAATCAGATACTAAAAAATAAATGTGCAGTCAAACGAGAAAAAACACAAGAAAATGACCTGAACTGTGCGTAACAAGGTAGTGGAATGGTGCTGGATCCACACCATTTTGCGGAAAAAAGACAGCCGAAAAGTTTCAAAAATTTAAAATCGAGTTAAACATTTTTTTTTAGCTCTAACAAGTACCAGTACAAGACTGAGGGAGCTCAGGCAGCTTCCGTTGGAATATGCGTTGGTGTTGACCCAGCACCAATTCACCACCTTTTTACATATGGTCAAACCTATCTTCTACCCCTGATAACGAGGTGCTTTTGATATTTGAGACCCGGTGGTCTTACTTTCATTCGGGTCTGTTGTCAGTTTCATAAAGAATGTGCAAAAACTTGCAACCGAGCTCCATTTTCTAGGCCTCTTTATTAAAGGAATGGAAAAAACACAGCCAAAAAGTTTCAAAAATTTAAATTTGAGTTAACAATTTTTTAGCTCTAACAAGTACCAGTACAAGACTGAGGGAGCTCAGGCAGCTTCCGTTGGTATATGGGTTGGTGTGGACCCGACACCAATTCACCACCTTTTAACATATGGTCAAACCTACCCCTCCCCCCCTCCCTGATAACGAGGTGCTTTTGATATTTGAGACCCGGTGATCTTACTTTCATTCGGCTCTGTTGTCAGTTTCATAGAGGATGTGCAAAAACTTGCAACAGAGCTCCATTTTCTAGGCCTCTTAATTAAAGGAATGGCTCTCCGTGGCTCTGAATACGCACTGCGAAGCGCGAAAGGCCGACGCTGAAAATTTCAGGCCTGGAGTAGCTCGGTTTCGAACTATGCGTTGCCGGCCGCCGAGAATTTTCGAAACGCTCCGAGTGGAAATTTTGCGCATTTCGAGACCCAACTTGGTCGCGTCGAGCTTGAAGTTTGCTCTCGAGAACTAATGTGCGTACGAATGAGTGCGTTCTTACCTTTTCAGCCGCGGGAAGCTATCCTTCTCAACTTCATGCAAAGTTTCATTAAATGTCGCGATTTCTGACCGCGCAGTCCTGCAAACAAACACACGGTAAAAATTAATTAAGGCCAGTCATTAATTAAAACTCTGATGCAGTGCAAATACGCCCGCGCCGCAAATAAATAAGACGCGGTCGGAGACCTCAACTGGAAATGGTTTTGTGGATGCGAAACTAACTTGCTGAAACAGTAATTGTTTTCGGGTAATAGGTCAGTTACGCACAAAAGATACAGGCGGGGTAAACAGTCTACGGGTAAAACAAAGAAATTACGTTGAGCGCTTTAAAAAAAACTAAAATGTATTCTTTAGCGCACAATCTCCAGCGCCAATGCAAAGGATTTTCGGATTTCATGCGCCCACGAGAGTTCATTTCTGACGACTCTCTCCCGGCAAATCTATTTCTGTGACCACAAAAAACTTCCCGGCAACGCGTTAAAAATACAAAAGCGTGATATGAAGTAAATAAATGCGCTAACGCGATGCTGACACGTTCAAAAATTGCGAGGCTGTGTGCAAAATCATATGCGATTATACCTGAGTTGGGTCATACCACTATTTTAACTCCGCGGTAACGTGGTGTGGTATCATCCCGCATTGAAGGCGTTTTATCAGCCCGATACGTTCCGACTTCAATGCTTGACGAACTTGCTATTACGCCAAGTCTTATGGCGCGTGTTGGCGTTCAGCGATATCGTAACTTGTTCTTAAACATGGAAAATAAGAGATCGGTTACTGATAGTTTATAGTGGAGAAAGTACTTTGCCCAATATTTGTGTTGCCTAATGTTTTGAAGTAAAAAGCTTTTTTTACGATTTTTTCTGAGAGATCTTTCCTTTTCAATTTTAGGCTTGCTTTTCTCAAAAGCATAAATATATCGATTGGCATGTTCTTACATAGGACTTCTCGACTTACGAGTCATTTATCAACACTATGTTCATGTATCTACACTTTTATTACATTTATCTACACTATTCATTTATCTACACTTTACATTCACAAGTTAGGGCTCACTAAAAGCCATATTAATCCGGAGGTATTATTTTTTTCTGCATTAGTATGATACGGTAGAAGTTCTCTAAAAGCCTGCACAAAGTAAGATTAAGAGACATTTCTTCTAATGATGAGCTGAAGTAGTAGGTTTCTCGACGCATTTACGGAATCCAGGCTAAAATTGAACAACGCGTTACAACCGTGCACCCAATTGAAATTCACAGAGGTAAACGCTCTCTATTGAATTTTCCGCGAAAAAAAGCTCTATTAATGAGACGCTGTATAAATATGAATCCAATTGAATCGGGAACAAGGTTTCTTACCTTTTACAGCTTTAAAACTACTGTGTTCAATGCAGCCAAATCAGAGCCTTTTCAATGACGCGACGAAGAAAGAGATTACTTACGACAAACAAGTTTTAAAGCAATCAATTCAGCAGCATCCAGTTTCTCGGAACTTTTGAAGTCCTGCGAATGCATCTGCAAGTAAATTGTTCACCCGCAAAGCTATTTTTGATTTACTCTTTTCTGATGTAAAGGGCGTTCGGGAAAACTTGGACGCCGTAAATCTCCAATTCTGATTTAATTTATCGGTGAGAGATACACCGAATTGCCAAACTTCAAGAAATTGCGGAATCTTCGTCCGCGAATTCGGTTGTTTCTCAAATTTTCACCTACCAAGCCGAAATGAAATTTATACTCTTTTCTCTCGTAGAGTGAGTCGTTACTGTAACTTGAAACATGCTCCCTAATACCTTCGCACGTTTCTATTTCTAATTTGCATTTATTTTTTGTGTCCTATCACTGGAAAAAAAACACATTTGACCTAGAGTCCAGACTCTTAAAAACATCGACAAGAAAAAATACTCTTGATTCAATCGGATTTTTGCTTAAATCAAGAACCAAGCCTCTTAATTTGAGCGGATTTCCTTTTGATTTAAGCTTAAATATGATTGAATCAAGAGTCCTTTTTCTTGTCAATGTTTTCAAGCGTCTGGGCTCTAGATCCAATGTGTTTTTTTTTTTTCTTCCAGTGGGCGGTTTACGATGGTGCGAGATACTCTATCCGCGAACTTGATATCCATTAGAAAAATAAAGCCAACATCGAATTTGGTCTATTTTTCTTCCTGACGAGAAGGCAACTTCGGGGGTACATCGGGTCCGCTAAATCAGAATATCGCAAAGTAGATCCACGCTGGACGGGGGTGAAGGGGGGGCAAAGGAGGGTTCCTTGAGGGGGGAGGCGGGTTTGGCTTCGATACAAGGAGTGAAAAGAGAGGTCGGGCGCTTTTATTTGGTTTTAAATGAGATGGGAGCGGGAGGACGAAATTAATTCATGGAAGAAAGTTAAAAGTTGCGCTTTGAGCTTCCGAGTTGCCGGTGTTTGTTACTCAGCCGCCGTGCACAACTTTATAATTTCAGACGATGCCTGCCTCGTTGAGATGCTCACTTGAGGTCGTCTTAAATCTCTGCGCCTTGTTGCCGGATCGGAATAATTCAGCCTACTTTATGGGGGAAGGGGGGGGGTGGCGGCCCCAGACAGCTCTGTGACCCAAGCTCCACTGGAAAAATAACACATCGGATCTAGAGTCGAGACTCTTAAAAAAATCGACAAGAAAAAGTACTCTTGATTCAATCAGAATCTAGCTTATATCAAGAACCAAGCCTCTTAATTTAAGCGGATTCCGTTTTGATTCAGACAAAAATCCGATTGAATCAAGAGTATTTTTTCTTGTCAATGTTTTCAAGAGTCTCGACTCTAGATCTAATGTGTTTTTTTTCCAGTGTTGGGTTTCTGGTGCTGTAAGATGTTATGGCCAAATTTTTGAACTAATTGAAAAATAAGAGAGACAAAATCTTGGAATTAGTTGGAAGCTTGATTGCCTCTTTTGAACTTCGCTGCATTCGGACTGGTGACGATTCCGGCAAATTGGCGACACTGGGATTCTTCCATTTAAATCCATTATAAATATCGATACTCTTGGTGAGGCAGCCTGCCTCACATGAAATCGATTGGATTACATACATTTAAATGGAGAAGAAACGGTGTTGCCAACTTGCAAATATTGTTACTGATACATTCGATGCAGCCAGAGGCGCGTCTATTGGGTCTTCATCTGTTCAGAGAGTGCAGAGTAAAATATTTTACTCATAAACGGGTTTCGACAGGAGCCATATGATTCCAATGCACATGTAAATACATTTCAGGTTTTTTTTTTTTTTTTTTTTTTTTTTTTTTTTTTTTTTTTGGAGAAGAAGAGTAAATTTAGTTATGTATCTCTAAGATAATTGACCAAGTAAAAGAGGTGTCTTTCTTATTTTATGTAAACTACTGATGACAACAACTAATTTCTTATAAGTAGAGGTCTTCAATTGAGCTTGATGATGTATTAAAGTGTCGTGAGGGCCGTTCATTTTGGGACATTTTGTAATGAGGGTGATTTTTATGCCGCTCTGAGAAACGAAAAGCGAAAATAAGGTGCGTATCAATACCCGGTGAAATTTCTTCTTTTTTTATGATCGCAAGAGCGAAACATACTACATAAAACGCGCACGGGCTGTGATAGGATACAGTTTGCGATAAAAGCAATTTTCGTCGACAAGGTGAACGTAAATTTTTCGCGACTACGTGCCTCCCACGCGTTTTGCCACCTCTCACACGTGGGCTACTAAAAAAGCGCGGATAAGGGCTGGAGGAGCGTTGAAAATTGGGAGAGAACTGCGCGACTTCAGGGTTTGAGGAAAAACAGAAGAAAAACAAGCGAATTTTACGAGTCACACAAGCGATAAGATGAGAGAAGGAAATGAATGTTGTAACATCGCTGAGAGAATATTATATTACAAAAAACCAAGTCAGCACTGGACGAGGCTAGAAATTAGAGTTAGTACATATCTGGTGAGCTTCCCTGCTGAAATTCAAAATAATAGGGATCACACGAGGATAATTCTGTAGTCATCTTAGGGAAAAAGTGAACCTAACAACGAAGGAAAAACAAAACAAAACACACAAAAAACTAAGATAAAGTTTCCATTTGCGCTGAAATTAGGCTTGTGGAAAAAATTTAGGTAGCTCTATTCAAAAGTGTATAGTCAGCTACAAAAATGAGAAAAATTCGGTAATATTTCATACAAACTCGGTCCGTTAACAAAAAGTCGATTTTTTGGCGCAATCTACGCCTTATTATAAATCCCCTAATCGATCAATCACGTAAGGTAATGAGAGGAAAGAGGGTTGCCTTCCCCCGCGGATTGGAGAAGTACTATTTGACAAATCGTAGTTAAGTCCGGTGGGAATTTCACTCGGGAGCTGTTAAAACACCAGATTGACGTAAGACCGGAGCGAAGACTACTCTTTTTGCGGAGTTTTACGTGGAGTAAACTCCGGAGCGGATTTCACGCCGTAATTATTAAACTCGGGTTTTTGGAGGAAAAAAGGGCTCCAAAATGAAATGCACTCCGGAAGAATGTGGGCGTGAATCAGCATTCACTCTGATTTATCGGAGGTTTCTTTCAGTGAGACATCAGAGAGCTCTATAGGTGTACCCGTTCGTGGATCTCAACAGGGTGTCTAGGAATTTTTAATATGGAAAAATCCTGATATTTTCCTGATTTTTCTCGACGCCTGGCACGGTAGGCAAAAAGCAGTAAGACTTTCTCCGCTAAGGAGATTTGTGTAAGAAAAACTCCTGATAAAACATCCGATTTTTCAGATTTTCCTGATCGCCCAAAATTCCTGATATTATCCGGGTTTTCCAGTTTTTCCCGATGCTAGACACCCTCCTCAGGTTTCGGTTCACGGTGGCAGCAGAGTGCCTTCCCCTGTCGTAAGCAGGTTACGGCGCAAAATGCAAGTACACCTTCGGGGTGACAGGTTCAACACTTCGACTATTTGTTTTCCGCGCGACGACTATGCATTTTCAGCAAACGCTCTCGCCCTCCCTCCCTCCCTCGCAAAACTAAAAAAGAAATATAAGTGCATACATCTTGCCGTATCTTGCTTTATTTCATTACCTCACCCCCGCCCCCCTCCGCCCGGACGACGTAA